TTCTAAATAAAATTTAACATAACATCCTTGAGTCATCTGAAAAAAATGGAAGGACATACAGGAAATTTTTTATTACGTCAAGACTAAACAATTCCCTGATGTGGATTTTCCAAAATCGCACTTATGTAATTTCAGCAAGAGAAAGACATTCTCCCATCTCTTGGTATCCCCTAACTTCTCACCTTAGCATATTTAAGTCTTATCAAGTGAGCGTATCTTCACAACATACTGAACAAATGCCAGTGAAAAAAATGATGACGTTCCAATTACTCATTAGTTCTTTCTAAAGGTTTACGATTAAAAGCAATCTCAACCAATACATTATATTTAACAAAAAAAATAAGAACATCAGAGGTTATGACCCTCCCCCACTCCACTGTGAGCTGTTTGGTTTACATCTCTGGAACTTTTAAAGGTTACTTACACACACATACTGCCCCATAAAAAACTATATACTACCATTCTAAATATACCCTTCTGTAAGTTTGATTGTATTACCCATGTCACTACATGTAAATCTAATAAATTCATTTATATGTTACATTGTATGGTAACTGTTTATTATTATTCCCCCACTTACCCGTGGCATTTGGGCTGTTTCCACTTGCTACTATTCCCAAATTGTAAAGAACATTCTCATCTACGTCTCTTTGGGTATGTACCCAAGCGATCCCCCAGAATGGCTAACCAGTAAGGTACGCACATTTTAAAATTATGATTCCGCCAAATTTCCCTCCAAACTGTTGCTCGAATTGACTGTCCTATTGACAAATGTATCTGAGTGCCTGTTTCTTCGTATCCTCTTTTTGGAGTTTTAACACCCATTTCTTTTATGAGCCTAGTTAACTGCCTTTAACCTGCCACATTCGTGTATGAGCACTCATGGTGACTCTCTACAGTTTGCTGGAGTCCTCTATGGCACCTGTGATCTGTGAAATCACAGCCTTAAAAGATGCTTCTCTAAAATCTGGCAACAGAAACTCGTAGTCTTAATGGATTCTTCCAGGTCTAAAAGCACGAATTCCTGAGCCTGGACCAACCATTTTTTCTGCAAAGGGACAGATAACAAACATTCCAAGCATTGTGGGCCACAGAGGCCCTACAGCGACTCCTCAGCCCTGCCAGCGCAGCACAGAGGCAGCCGCAGATGCTACGTCAACACAGGAGCGAGGCTGCGTGCCAAACAATGTAACTGACACTGAAATAGGAATTTCATGTAATTTTCATATGTCCTGAAATAGTCTTATTTTGACTTTATTCAACTATAAAAAACTGTAAAAACCATTCTTCTCTCATTGGCTATAAATAAACCTCAATTTGCTGGCCAGTGCTCTAAATCACCTAACTTTTTTCTCCTATTCTGATAGCATTTTTCACAGGCCTAACTGCATGATCTCCTCCTACCAACAGACATAGCGTGATCATGTCCGCTCTGCTATTTCCTGCACCTGTGGGTCTCCTACTTCAGGGTTCACATGAGTTACCTGCAGGAATATGCATTTTAAACAAAATTCCCAGGGAATTCTGATGCCAATAAAATAATCTGACCCATTTTAAGGTGCAGCTAAACTTCTGTATCGTCAGTAAAATTCACTTTGATTAGTGCAACACAACCACTCTTGATTATATTGTCTTGTGTAGCCTTTAGTTGTGTGTACAAAATTATGGACACACGTAATATGAGTTTAAGATATAAAACATAAAATATGCACATGATTCAAATAGACTGTAGGCTGTCTGAACACACCCTCATACACCCCCTCTTTTGTATTCCCTGTAAGACTTTCCTCAGAGATGGAGGTACCCTGGGTGGGTGAAGCTCACAGACCTCAAATGCCATTCAGGAAATGCCCTGCTCATGCAGCATATTCCTGCTTTATCTTGGCTCTGACTTTCAGGCCAGGGAAGACAAAGCTGAACCTGAACATATCCATATAACAAAATACTACATAGTCATTAAAAATTAAAAGCAGAGTGTGGAGCAGTACAGCTAACAAGTCAACTCTACTAAACTAAATATGTATGTATAATTTACATAGAAAGGTTATATCCCAGAAATTTAAAAATAACAGCTACTGTCAATTGAGATCTGATTATGTGACAGGCACCGTTCAAGTGCTCATTTAATCCTCTGAGGCAGGTACTATATTATTCACGTTTCACTATGACGCAGATTAAGTAATTTGCCTCTGAGCCGTGTGATTACTGGTGATTTTGTTTTCTTTTTGCATGCTCATTTTATCTCAACACCCTTTTGGCAATAACCATTAATCACTTTTGTAATTTAAGAAAGCCTTTTTTTTTTTAAATTAATGAACATGAGTCTTCAGGTCATACTCAAAAAGGATCCAGTTTTTTGAAGGACTTTTAAATGCATTCAATAATGTCATTACTATATGAACTTTTGTGAAGAAGTTTTAGTTCTTAACTATTCCACAAATGTTGAATAAATAAGGCAGGTTAAGGATCCAACTAGCAAAGTAAAAAAGCTAAATTTTGTAGTCCACACCATTCACTTTCTTTTATCTCATTAAAGACCATAAAGATAATACTTTAGTCTGCTCTCTCAATAATGTAAGAATGTCTTTAAAAAAAAGGGAATTATTCTAATAATGATGCTCATGATTAACTATTTTTATGTAAATATTAACCCAACCTTAGTTTGGAAAGTCTCTAACCTCTTAAGTAAATCTCATTCCCCACTCATTCACTATTCTTCACCTTCCTCTTCTATGATCTTTACACCCCAGAGCCCTTAAGCATTTTTCTCTTCAACGGCCCCCTCAAGAATGCTCTCGCATTGCTCTTCATGTCACTGGCTCCTTACAAAGTTCACTCAATCACTTGCTGAATGAACATCAACTGAATACTCACCAAGTTTTCTTTTTTGGAATAACCACTTCTTCAGTCCCTTAATGTGAAAAATAAAACAGTGAATCAGTTTCATAATACTACTACAACAACAAAAAAAATGGAGTATCTTCAGTATTTTTATATACCTGTTACATCAGCTCCTTCAACCTTTGGCAGAGCTGCACTTTCAGAATAGAATCTGCCAAAAAAAAAAAAAAGTCCTATATTATATTGAAGTTTCCACTTCACTTCCATCTATGTGCGTTTGAACCAAAACTTTTTCCAATTATTATGGATCAAACTAGATAATTCATTTCAAAGTATCCTAAGAAGACATGGCCTCAACAGCAACTTCAAAGCCATTATAGAATAGATACAAGATACAGACATAATATGGCCAAAATTTTTTTGAATCAGGCAATCTCATTAAATAAAATCAGGAGAAAAAGGAAAAATTTAGTAGCAGGTGGACATTTGAGCAGCTGCTCTGAAATATAAGGGACTTTCAACTCTGGGAACCTAAAACACTGAGGTTACAAGGGACAATTTAATGGGCTCCTGATTTTACATGGATAATGCCTTGATGATAATAAAAGACTATCCTACTTAAAGGAATTATGACAAGTTATGAAACTAAGATCACGGTCTTTCATTCCACGTCCTCCAACAATCAGGAATATACCAAATATATACATCGTGATTTAAACTTGGAACTACTGGTATTATTTTTTTAACCCAAAATATACAATCACTGACCCACGACTGAGTTTTTAAATGTTCTGATCACACTAAAAAATACAGTCAACATACCACACAGGTAATGGACAGTATCTTGTGTATTTCCTTCCTAAATGGCATTGATACCATTCAGAAAATTGTCAAGAAGTGATCACACAGAAAATTACTTCCTCCACTGGTATCTGGTCTCAGGCATCATTTTAAAACAATACTTGTCCTAGGGATCTATTCTTTCAAATCATGCTGCTTCTCATGATGTGCATGTGTAGGACACACACACCTCTCTTCTTGTGGGTGAATGCTGAGGAAGAGATGCTGCTGCTAAGGCAAAGGAAACGGGTAGAAAAACATCAACACTGGGTGCTACTGGAAAAAGGGCTGGGATTGAACAGCAGGTTTCTGCAGTACCAGGTGGAGCGTACTCTGTTCTGTGAGGAGTTGAGAGAAGGTATTGCATGTTAAAGGTATATTCTAAATTACACATCTCACTCACAATTTTTCGCATGGCTATTTACTAGCTCCAGCCTACACATAAGGAAACTTGTTTACTATCACTTCCAAAAGAAATGGCAAACATCAAATCTAAAATTAGGTTTTAACCTTTCACAACAAATTGCTGCCACTCATACTTCCAAAGTGCCACCGTTTGTACTGGGGGGTGGGGGGGAACCACACAAATGATACATGTAAAAAACTTTAACAAGCACAGCAATCCTATTCAGATTGTGCTCAGTTCTTTTAGACTTCCCTGCTGTTATGAACACCTGGATAATTTCTTTGGCTAAACATCCCTACAACATCTATTATACACAAACTGACTTTATTTTGGGAAAACCTCATTTTCCCCATTCCTTCCGGTTTGTGAAAATGGATACGGGCAGATACAATTTTTTATTTCTTTAAAAACTTGTGGGGTTGCTAACAGCCACACTCACAAGAATGCAGGCTCCACAACATCGGAATCCTAATCTTGCCGAGAGTCAAAGCGCCGGAGAAGGGCAGCCAAGGAATAAACACTCCTCTAACAAGCGCGCTCGGAGCCCTTACTCAAGGACGCGAGTGCGCGCACGTGCATTCCGCTCCATCGTAGCTAGTTCCCTAGCTCTTGGGGGAAAGGGGATGCATGGTACTAAATTGACCCCGAAATCTTTCTTATGGATTCTCCAACCTTCTCTTACCTGCTACTGAGGGCCCCTCCACAGGGACCTGCCTGCCGACCCGTCAGCGGTAGGCAAAGCCCGCAGCGGAGCCTCAGCCAGCGAGCCGGCGCTACGGAAGCCATCTTTGGCGTCTTCGCAGAGCATGCTGGGAAGGCACGCCCGCGACCTAAAGGAGGGGGGAAGTGGGCGGGGAAAAGGCGAAAGCAGTCCTAAAATAGGTTACAACCTCATGGTTTGAAAGACTTTGCTTCAGAAGTTAAAGGCTCAATACCTCGAATAAATGCCTCGAATAAATTTCCGAAAACTACTGTTTTAATGTCTTATAGGTCTTCATTGTTTTTAAAATAAAAAGGCGAATGAGAGTCGTGAAATTATTTTCCTTCCCCCCCTAGAGCGGAAGTAGTCTCGTCCCCGCAAATCTCTTCCCAGCGAGCATTTCTCGCGCGCAAGCGCAGTTTAAATCACATGGTGGCTGCGGGCTTGAGCAGCATTAAGGATCTACCGGTAGTCACTGGGGCTTCTCTCTGGACATCAGAGCTCCGGTGTTAGAGCTCGAAACTGACCTGGAGGATGTTGGGCTCAAAGAACATGCCCTGGCGGCGGCTGCAGGGCATTTCCTTCGGAATGTATTCGGCCGAAGAGCTCAAGTAAGGAGTTGGTGGGAAGCATGCAGAGCCTCTTGGGGTCGGAGCCATAAACTACCGTTCCCAGAAGGTCTTGGGCCCAGTTTCTCCTCAGGGCCCATGGCTGTCCGGCGCTTGGCCTGCTGGGACCCGTAGTTCCAGGAACGTCTTGGCTGGCGGGCACTGCTAGGAAGAATCCAGTGGCTGGGGATGAGTTTGCTCTGAGAACGTGGAGGTTCCCAGATTGTAGCATTATCATGCGCCAGTCTCATCGTTAATTAACCAGCGTTTGTGGGGTTACTGTATTGTTTCTGACGTGGTTTATTAGGCACCTGATTAGTCTCTTGTCTATAAGATGATTATCCTTAAAGCCTCAATTCAGACGACAACTTCTCTTTGCTAGGACCCCCTGCTGGACCCCCTAACCCCAGCAGGCCCCTGGAGAGCATCTTTCCCACTCTTAAGGCTCAGCTCAACCTCCATCATTTTCTGGGGTCTTTCCACGTCTAGACCAGTTGTCTGTCAGGTGCCTCAGTTACTTTTTGTGCTTGTTTGTATTTCTGTCTCTCTCCACTAACCTTAGGCTTCCTCATTCTTTATATCCTCAGCTCAGGTTGAATGAATGGATGACAAAGCCCCTGAGCTACAACAGTATGCTGGCTCAGAAATTTCACTTATATCATCACTAGCCATAAACAGGTATTATTTCATCCAAAAGCAAAAGTATTTTAGGTTGCTTGACTTTTTTAAAAAGTTAGTTGTGGCATTTTCAGACAAGGAGTTTTTGGGAAAAATTCATACCTATTACTACAATTGTAAGACCTGTTGGAGTCTAGGGTTGAGAAATTTCATTAGTTATGCAACTTTTTATTGTGCTAGGTTCTAATAGCTTCCCATCTCTTTTGGAGTAAAAACTAAGTCCTTAAAATTGCCTGGGAGGGTCATTCTGGCTCCTGTTACTTCCCTGAACTCACGTCTGTACTCATCCTGGCCTCCTTACTATTCCCAGAGGACACACATCTATCTCAGGACCTTTGCACTCCCCGCTTTTTCCTCCTGTAAAGGTGACTGCATGACTTGCTTCCTCATCTCCTCAGGCCTTTGCCCAAGTATAACCTTCATAGCATGGGCTTCTCCAATCACTGGCTCGTTCTATAAGCCCCTTTTCTGCTTTACTTTTTCTTAATAGCATTTTCTGCCATCTAACATACTGTATGCTCATTTAGTTTGGTTTTTCTCTGCCGGCCTTCAGTAGGATGTAAGGCCCATGAGCACAGGGATTCCTGTCTGTTTTCCCAGCTTCTTAAAGTGTGTCTGGCACATAGTTAAGCACTCAGTAGCCGTTGGTTGAGTGCATGGGTGGATGGGGGATCTGTCTTTCAGCACTTGGTACAATCAGTTCTTACTACAACCATTTGTCTCCAGTTACAGGAGAGGAAATGCCTGTCCAGAGAATAAAGTAACCCTCTAGGAGGCAGCAAAGGTCAAGTTTGTTAGTCTCAAACCCTGTTCTCTCCTGTGGAGTCCTTACTAGTTGCCCTTCCTCTCTGCATCCCATTCCTGCAGTGGTTAGAAGAGTTTTCTCTTATTCCCCAGCTAAGGAGAGGAACTTTTTTCCTTAGTACGTAGGAAGACCAAGGATGAGGACCAAAAAATGCATTCAGTTTTGGATATGAGCTATTTGTGTTGTCTCTACAAGCACAGGATGCATTTCCTCTGCCGCTTAGGTTTGTGTTGGCCCTGCTTGCCTACTTTTTTCCCGTCATTGTAGATTCAAGAGAAGTGAAGTACCAACTTATGAAACGCGGTGGAAAGAGGATCTAGTGGTGCAAGACTTTGCACTAAGACCTAATTAATTTGTATTTACCTTATGCAGTAAATATTTCCCTCATTAATAATTCCA